TGTGTGTGTGTGTGTGTGTGTGTGTGTGTGTGTGTGTGTGTGTGTGTGTGTGTGTGTGTGTGTGTGTGTGTGTGAGTGTGTAAATAAGAGATGTAACTTTACTACTGCCGATCTCAAATTCAAATAAAAAGAAAGAGAGTGTCTTGTCATTTATTAGGTGTAGTAAAAAGAAATCCATTATTTTTGGACGAAATTGAATGGAAAAATAATGGATTTATTTTACTACATCTAATATTATTGTTTTTTTGAATAAGAGAAATTTCGTTGCCAATTCTTAATTATCAATATAGTCGATATAAATCGAATTTAAAAATACATAATGATTCGTAAAGACAATTAATTGGAAAACGATAATTGATGTATTACCGTATTTTCAAGTTTTCATATTTTTCATAAGAATATTAATTTTTCTGTAACAATGTCATAATGAAAAATATGACAATTAATGTTTCGTAATGCAATATTACTCACATTTGACCCAATTGAAAATTAATTTCTAAATCATTGAGGCATAACTGACAGTGATTTTATAATAATGCGAATAAGGATTTCATTCATTTTATCAATGTACCAATTTTTCCTTCAATCTGCCGTTAACGATCATTTTCGGTTTCCACGAAGAAAAATATATAAGAAAACAAAATAAAACAATCCCCAAGTGGTCTCGGAACCATGTAAAATTGGTATCCTTCTTTGAAGTTGAGAAAATAAAACCATTATGAACAATTAAATCACTGCGTGTGCTATGCAACTTACGTTTTTAGATTTAATATAATAAGCGTTATACTTCACAGTAAAGATGACAGCAGGCAAAAAATGAGAAAGAAATTGAAGTATATTATGCAAATTATACTTTGATGTAATTAATGTACAAAACTGCAATAATATTCCAAATTATTGAATAAATAAAGTTAATTTTATTTTGCAATATTTTTGAAATATATTTAAAAAAAAGGATTAAGTCACCTGTACAAATAAAAATGAGCAGAATAGAGTACAGACAAATATAGGTTTAATTTGTATGCACTTTGTTGTTTGAGATGGCCATAAGCCAAGACCACACAAAAGAAATATGTAGATTTTATAGTATCGTCTTCCAATAAAGTCCATCTTGCGCTCTGACACGATTATATTCATATGAGAAAGACTCGCTGTTTTTTCAGATATATTAGAAACAAGTGCTCTATAGAATGCTTTAGAGTTTCTTTTTTCATAAAAATGGCATTAAAAAATAATCAATAATAGCTGAACAATTTTCTAAGTTGATATCGCACGAAAAGAACAGGTGTGAAGTAAATTACTAATGTAAATTAATTTAATGTAAATTGCAGTAAACTATTCTTTTCAATATTTAAATATGCACATATTAAGTTTATTTTTCTCTCATTTAAAATAACGCAAATGTATCTCTCAGCAAATATCCTTCAGTTTATTTCAATTCTTTATATGGAAAGCTTCCTGACTTCTCTAATTTCTTCAATGACTTACAAAATATACTAACAAAATATAATAGTAACGTTTAAATATTATTTTTGTAATATTAAACTAACGTTACTCGTTTATAAGAAATATAGAAATATTTAGCAAATCATTATTAAAAGATAGAATAGACTTTTCAAATAATTTTTTATAATACAGGAAAGACAAATTTTTTACACGTGTAATAGTTCTTTTGACATTTATATACAGCCTTTTTAATCTGCAATCATGAACAGAGATTTATGTTGTAACTTTATTTTATACGTTGTGTCGTATTTTATTATGTTTTTAGAGAGAGAGAGAGAGAGAGAGAGAGAGAGAGAGAGAGAAAGAGAGAAAGTTCTAAATAAATTCCATATTTAAGTTTATTTAAATAACGCATTGACATAATTTCTATTAAATGAGCAAGTGGCATTAATTACAATTTCCCTTATTTCAAAACAGGACTGCTAGTTCATGATGCTCGATCGTTTTCGTGTTAAATTAAATCAGCTGTAACTTTAATATTAATGCATATAGAGTGCGAATAGTGCGAATAGACTAGAACGCATAGACTAAGTTACATGACGTAAGACAGCAACGAACTGGTAAGCTGCAACATAAAGTATGTACTTCGCATCATTGTTCAAAGTTATATCGGATTATTGGTGTATTTATATTACTTCAGATGATGAGATAATTATATTATCTCAAAAGATATTATCACTAAAAGATACTTTTTTTCGTGCTTTTCAGCATCCCAAATATTTGTATGTACAATACGGATGTAGTAAATATATTTAACAAATCGACATTATTACTCACCAAATTATTCAATTAATTAAGAATGCTATAAGAAATATTAATCAAATTATACTGCTATTATTTTTTTCTTTTTTTATCATATAGAATTATAAATATAGTTACAAACATAGATAAAATAAAATAATAATAATAATAATTTAAAATGTTCACTAGACGCTTTCATTTCCAATTGGTTTATGATTTATTTAAATTAGTACGTTTTTATAAAGATCTCTTTATTGTTATGTTATACAAGAAAAACTATGCTGAGGATTAGATTTTTAAGTAAGATATGTACTGCTACTTGTGACTGAATTTGTATTTATAACTTCTTATATTAGACAATAGAATAAATTACTGTAAAGTATGAAACTGACATACTGAAGATCTGAAACGAGAGATTTATTTTGTACACATAGAAGTAATCAAATTCTAGTAATTGATCACAATTAATTGAAGTAATTAATTACTGTTGCAAAACCTTCCAACGATGGGATAAATATGCCACCCACGGATATGGCAGTACCTTTAATGGTTTGTTGCATCATAAATAATAATAACTTTTGTGCATGGAGTGGTGCGTTATACCATTGTGACACATATCTATAAATATAAGGGCACAATAATTAGTATTGTGTTTATATAATCTAATATAACTTTTACACAGTTATTATAATATATAATAATGGTAAATAAAATGCAATGTATAATTAAAAATATAATCTTTCACATTTTATCTTTTCAAATTGCTGAATAAAATCGCCAATAAACAATTAAGTATGTTACAATTAATTTTAATATTACTTTTTGTATAATATAAATAACATTAAATTTTTTTGTTTTTTATGAAAATGCATTAAAATTTGTCTATCTATTAAACTAGCAATTTATTGTAACTTACAAATTGTTATATACAAAATACTCACATTTTGTAAAATACATCTGTACTCTGATCTATTAGTTTCTGGCTAGTGTAATTGCCAAAAAATATATAACAAATATGACCAAGAACGAATAATATGGCGGTAATACATTCTTCTAAATTGGATAGATATTGTGTAGCTAAAAAGAGCTGTGATAAGAAATTAGGAATGCTTTATAATCTTACAATGATTAATCGTATATACAATATTATAGGATAACAAACTTACACGAAGTAAATTAGCAGTTAAAGAAATAACTCCCAAACAAAGTAAGAAAAAATATGAAATAACAAAGCCAGATCTTAAAAACTCGACGAATCTTGAATAACACAAACTCCTTGATAAATTATACCAATATAATTATTTTTATTATAATTATATCCATAAAATAACATAATTTTTTATTGCAATATAAACATTTTATAAAAATAAATTATATGTATATATTATTATATGTTTTTTCATATTAATTCTTCTAGTGAAAGTTAATATTAATTGAAATGTTAAATATATTTGAATAAATGCATGCTTCCTATAACAGATAATACATATTAAAGAATATAATACTCTACAATAAATGCATGTTTTGAAAAGATACTAACTGCGTAGCTCTCCTGTGAATGTGAATAGCGCCTATTATTTTTGCACAATATGGACAACATCTTTTTGATGTTATACTAAATACTTCGTCAAACACATGCTCTATTCTGTAACTAAAAAATCTGACGTGCACCAAATTAACTTTTCTCATTATACGTAAAATAAATTAAATTAACTTTGTCTAATGCAGAATGATATTATGAAAAAGTAGAGAAAAAAGTGATATTATGACACTCCATTTACATATTAAACACTAACTTGATTAATAATCAATATGTGAATTTTAATCTTAACGATTGCATTCATCAAAATATTGTTCAATCGATATTCAAAATTACGAAACATTTATTACATATGACACTATTTATAAAAACGTGACGACATTTCATAATGGCGCGAAAAGAAAACACGAGTACTGTGATCTTCCACAGAAATAGATTTAAAAAAGTGATTTTGTTAAAAAAAAACAGTATTTGATTCCAAAATTAAGAAAAAATAAAATATTGCAGAATACAGTATGAAAATCTACATCACATATAATTTGTTTCACATATAAACTTTTTCCATACTGTTAATCTATTACAAATATTTTGATATGAAAATCGAGAGAAAGAGAGAGAGAGAGAGAGAGAGAGAGAGAGAGAGAGAGAGAGAGAGAGAGAGAAAGTCAGTATGTGTAAAATGTCATGGTACTGTCTAATTTTTACGTTACTTAAATTATTACAGTCAAATAAAATGTTAAATAAGAAAGAATACGCTCAAATATACATATATTTATGCAATGATATGTTTCAAATTTAAGAAGAACGAAGAACTATGTGTAATTAAATGGTAAAAATGTTTTAAAATGTTAGAATGTAAAAATGTGTTATAAATAAATGCTCATTCTTGTGTATTGGCCTCATGATGTAATAGCGAACTACTAAATAAGTAATTCCATAAACTAAAAGTTGTCGCCCAATAGCGAAGAAATTAAAAAGGGTCACGATATCTGGCCACATAATACCACCTTCTCCCAGTATATCGAAATATTAATAAATAAAATTTATTTATAAAACATATTTATTTTAAATTCAATTTTCAATATTGTGGTATATCAAAATAATTTTATCACAAAAATAATCCAGTTTAATTTACAGTTTACCTAGCGACTTCAAACATTCCTACGGCATGTCGTACATACGCTGTAAATAAAGACTCAGTAGAAATCACAATGGTGAATCCTATAAAAGCTACTAAATCGATATGCAATAAAATTGGAAGATAATATTCCTGTTGATCAACAAAGTATTCTGCAGCTAATGGTATGTTATGCAGCCGTGATTCATTTTGCAGTGCTACGATGTTGAGAAAATTTGGTATAAATTGAATCAAAAAATAAAAAAACAAACCAAAGTATATAGACACTGAAAGTACGTGAAGTATAAGTATGAATAAATTTCATATATTTATTGTTATATTATTAATCAATTATATAATTTTATTCTAATAGAATGATATATATATATATAAAAGCATTATATATATATATATATACACATGTATATAAATTCGTCAAAAATTATCTTACGTGCAAAAAACAACGTATAAAATCGTCCAAAATTGGAATGCTTTTTTATAATTTCAATTTCGGCATCGGTTTTTAATAAATGCCAATCGCTTATAACAGTCTTCATAAGATTTTTTACCTGTGTATTTCAGTTTTATTAATTAAATTCAAACAGCGCTAGAGATATAATCGATAAACGATATATTATAAAAATTTTATATTGTCTTATATTAATAAATCTCATAATTATAGTTGACTTACTGTTTTACTACCGTAGCAGAAAGAAACATATTTTAAGATAAACACCATGCAAGGTACTGCAAATGATAGAACCTTCAGTAGAAGAGCCAGATTGTATTCAGTTGTGATAAATTTCAAAAACTAAAAATAATTATTGCTTGTTTCGCCAAAATTGAATAAATTTATTATTATTAAACTATATACATAGACAAAAAATATATCGATAAAATATGAATATGTTTCTTTTAAATTCATGTTAAAATTATTTCTGAATATTGATGTAATTAACTTTAAATTTGTTTACCTGAGTAATGATAGTAGATGCCAGAATAATAGAAGAAATTACCCATTGAATCTTTTTCATTGTTGGATCTTGATATGGCCATAAACCGACTGAAGATAAAAAAACACGATGTATATTATAATAGCGGTATATGTTTCCTACAAGATCCATATTTGTTTAATGGACGAGAACGTTTATTCATTCGCCATTCAAGATGAATTCTTATGATTATTCAAATCATTTTATTAAGTCTAGAGATCTCTTTCAATTTCTACAATTCTCAAATTGCAGTTATTGCAAAATTGCAATGCTATTAAAAAAAAATACGATGTTTTACTTTCTTTTCTTTTATTGAATGTCTTCAGCAATGTAAGTCCTTTTTTATAGTGTTTAAAGGCAAAAAGAAAACAAGTTACAATTATTTAAATTGCTTAAATTACTTCGTACTCATAGCAATATTTTTTTCTTCACTGAACTAACGTTCTTATTCTTTTTTTTTAATTGACACAAGCGCAGTAGGCAGCGAATGGAACATCAATGTCGCCCAAACACAATACATTCGTATTTAATACTTCCTGAGCACAACATCTTTTCTTGTTACTCGATTTAGTTCTAAATCTTAGTGAAGTCATTAATGAAAACTCATGAAATAAAGTGCACTTTAATTTTCACGTTTAACTATCATTTTTGTAATAACATTTGTAAGTATTATATTAAAATAAAAACAGATTAAATTATACAAAAGCTTAAAAAATAATTTTATTTCAAACAGATTAACATTTAAATTTTTATTTCAAATAGATTAATAATACTTTTTAATTGTTATCTTCTGTAATCTATTTTACAGAGAGTCTATATCAAAAGTATTGTATAAGTATTTGCAAATTAACAATCATATTATTATCAATATATTTTGTGTGCAAACAAAATTGTAGATAATTATTTTATAGGTAAACAAAATCCTTCTCTTTGTTGATGTTTATATTACGTGAATTTAATCATTTAATATTATATTTTCAAATTCTTTTTTAATTACTATTTAATTACTATTAAAATATAACTCATAATAGTGTAAAAGTGGGCAAATAAAAAAGCTAATTGAATATATTTGGTTCCAGGCAATAAATTTTTTTGAATTTAGTGCCAATTTTATATTATACTCTAATCCCTAATGTTTCAAAATTGTATCATTTTAATGTGAATTTTAATTATTTAATGCAATAATAATATTGAACTATATATAGTATAATTAAAAAAGCGTTAAAAGAGCAAATTATGATTTATTAATATAATCTATAATAATAATAGATAAAAATAATCTGCCGAATTAGTAACATGTAATAGTCTTAAATTTCCAACTTAATGTTTTTGATCTAATATAAAATATTCTAAAAGTAACTATTATTTTCGAATAGAAATCACTATGTTTCCACTTTTTTTTTTATAAGTTTCATTGTTGCACAGAATAAATTATTGTGAAGTAAGATAATGATAGACTCGCAAGCTAAGAAAATAAATTCATTATTTTGGAGAAAACTGTATACAGAAGTAAGATTTATTATTACATCCATGATACAAGTTACCGTAGTAAATAGTTCCAGTGACACACAATACAGGTCACCCACAATAAAGTTGCAAGATTTCATGCTTCTTTGCATCATGAATAGTAATAATTTTTGCATTTGTACAGGCGCCACATACCATTGAGTATCATATCTAGAAATTATCATATTTTCATATTTCATTATACTAAAAAGAAACTATTCAATTCATCGCATTCGTGCATTTAAACATAAATAATAAGAATGTCGTTATAATTGTAAGTATTTGCTTATTAATTTCAGTAATTCTTTATATTTGTCTATAATATTAATGATTGATTTATTATGAAAATAATTCTGACGTAAAATATTGAAATTACATATACACAATAATGTTTCATCGGCACTCACGTTTTTCTAAAAATTCCTGTACTACTATCTATAATCTTTTGTCCCATGTAATTACATATAAACAAATAGGAAAACTGAGCAAATACAAATACTACATGTAATGGTACGAGATCTTTTCTTTCATCCGGTAAAATAGTAACTTGACAAAGCTAAAATGTATTGAAAAAACATGCATTATATTTATATTCTCCATGTACTTGAGTAAATAGACATGAAAATACTTTTATTAACATTATTATGATTAATTTATAGTGTTAATAAATTAGTTTTTTACTTACACGGAATAAGTTTATACTCAAAGAAGCTACGCCCAGAATACTTAGAATAAAATATGATACTGATAATGTAGATGACAAATATTCAAAATACCTTTTAAAAATTTTTTATTGTATCATTAAAAATATTTGTCATAAACAGTTGTGAAAAATCAAGATATAATATGTGTAACATATTAATTAATAATAAAATTATGAAGACAAATAAAAATCGGAGTACTCGTAATAATGAGAAATATGAAAAATATTTATAAATTATGCAATAAAAATTAAACAAAAGTTTTCCTTTACTAAAATAAAATGCCTATAAAAGACATTATCAGAAAAACAATAATTGAAAAGAAAGAAATAATTCTAAAAAATCAAAACAATGCTAATATTATTAATGAAAGTAATATTATTAATGAAAGTAATAAATTACCAACTCGAGAGTTCTTTGATGAAGCTCTACAGCCTCAATTAATTTAACACGGATAATATTTTCTTTATTTAAGGTTAATGACAATGATACATTCTTATCCAATGCACATATTATTCGATAGCTATAACAAATGTGGAATAGCCAATAATTACATGCAATTACTAGATTAATTATTTTTTCATATATATAATATATAAATATAATAATATATAAATTTTTATATTTTACCTAACTATTTCAAACATGCCGCAAACATGATAAAAGTACGCAAGAGCCAAAGTCTCCGTAGCTAAAACAGTCGTAATTCCCATAATAATCGTTACAATTGTGTGCAATAATATTGGATAAAAATATTTCTGTTCATCCAGAAAGTATTCTACTAGAAATGGTAGTTGTCGCGTGCGTGATTCATTTAATGGTGCCATAATATCAAGAATATCTGGCAAAAATGGTATTGAAATATAAACAATAACGGAAGGATATACTACGCCTGAAATCATACAATACCTAAAGTGATACGCTGTAAGAAAATACGAATAAGTCATTCACAGAAAACTAAAATATTTCTACTTCATGTGTTGTGTTGGTTCGATACACAGTTGGAAAATTTGTTAAATTTATCATATTTAACATATTTATTTATTATTTCATACTGAAACTGTTTACTTAAACAGTTTTTTGTATTAATTTAATACAAGATAAATATGTCAGAAAGTAACACAAATATTACGTAAAAGAAGTTAACACAAAAAATGAAACATAAATACAATTTGTAAGCATATTTCTTCTAAATCAGCATATTTCTTCTAAAATTTTATTAAAATTTTAATAATATAATATGTTAAATTAACTATGTTATTAAATATGTTAAATTAACATATTTAATAATAATTAAATTTGACTTTTATCAAACAAACACATTTTATTCATATATCTCAGAATCTTTGTTTTAACAAGCATTATTTATATGTTACTTATTCGTTCATAAATTATATTATTTTAACACTAAGAAATGTTGAATATTAATTTAACAAAATATTAAAATAGCAATCACGTTATGTTAAATTAATACTCGGACAAAAATTCGATACAAAATTTTAATAAGGACTTGAGTGAACGTTTCTAACACAAATACGAAATGTTTTTACTTATCCTACCCACAAATGTATACATATATCTTCTTGCAGTCTTGGCATATTTCCGTATTATTTCAACTTCTTCTTCATCTTGTAATACATTCCAATCAATTCGAATGTGTTCATTTAATTCTTTAATCTGCTTCATGTGTTAAGTTTATTAAGAAAAACTCATATAATCGGTGAATTAATTTCAAGAAACAACTTACCCTTTGAGATTGTATATAAAAAGTACTATATTTTAAAAGATAAATTATGGAAGGAATAGCAAACGACAGATCGGTCAACACATACTCCAAATTAAA